TTTTAAACAGGCTCCCCTCTCTGGGGGTGTCCTGCAGCCTTCTTACAGCAAAACATGTCTGAAATATGTCAAAATGCAGTGATTGCAATATTCAGTAGATGGCAGCACCTGACCACCTTTCCTCTGGAGAACACTGCATAGGAAAATAGAGAACACTGCATAGAAAAGGCTACCATTTCTAGCCATTCAGTTCTATTTTGTTTAGGTAGCATGGTTTATGTTTCAGTAAATACTTTATACCGCAATACCAGTCAATAAATAGTACATGTCTAAATTATTTTAATATATTATATATGTTAAAATCCCAGGAATATACTATTAGGCAATAAATGTATGCCCTACCGAAGCCTGATATTTGCTCCAGATGTTGATAACTCCAAGCACATAGTGGGAAAAGATAAAAAATAATCACACAAGTTTAGACAAACTTTCCATTAAGTATCATTAACAATATGTTGCCCAGACCTTTTCATAATGTGAAAGGTTAAATAAATAACATGGGCAGTGCAGTGACTCAGTGTCTTAGTACTTCTGCTTTGCAGCACTGGGAGTCCCTGGTTCATATCCCTGCCAGGACACTATCTGCAAGGAGTTTGTATGTTCTCCCCGTGCTTGTGTGGGTTTCCTCCGGGTGCTTCAGTTTCCTCCCACACTCCAAAGACATGCTGGTGGGATATTCGGCTCCTGTCTAAATCGGCCCTGTATGCATGTGAAAAAGGGACCTTAGATTGAAAGCTCCTTGAGGGCAGGGACTGATGTGAATGTGCAGCATGTAAAGTGCTGCGTAAATTGTTGGCTATATAAATACATATAAAAAATAAATTAATGATTTCAACAAAAACACCTCTTCAGCAACCGAAAATATGTTAGTCGTGTGCAAATATTTGAAAACCAATGTTTTACTACATTCATCAATGGGAATGAGCTTTGGGTTCGAGTTGAATGTACGTCAGACCGGAACAAGGCCTGCTCACAGTTCGGCGAACAGGCGAACGAACTAGCCATATTTGACCAGTTCGTCTGCAAACAAGCACCAGCTGAAAGTCTGCCATTTTGAGGTGGTAGTATTATTGCAGCTAAATAATATATCCCGGGGGCCTTTGTTTGTAAAGAAACAGGCTTGGCAGGGTGGTTACTAGAAATCACTGTGCCCATTGCAAAATTTTGTATGGGGCCCGGTGATTTCAAGTTACGCCCCTTGCAGAGCCCACCTGAGTGACCCTGCAGAGCCCGCCATAGACCCTCTATGGTGGGCTCTGCAGGGTCTCAGGTGGGCTGGTCACACCCCTGCACTCCTCTTACCTGTCAGCCCTGGTCTGCTGTCAGCCTCCTCCACCGCCGGGCCCCGCCTCCTCCTCCCCATGGTTGCTGGTGGGCCCCGCCTCCTCTGTCACCGGGCTCCTCCTCCACTGCTGCAGACTCTGTGCCAAGCCTCTTCCTCCACAGCTGCTGGCTGTCACTGACTCAGCAGTGGCTGTTAGGAGGGTGGGTCGCTATGGTGATAGTTCCGCCACTGAGGCTGGGCATCCTGGGTGACATAATTGACCATTGTGGGGTGGTGGGTTGTAGTGTCAGTTGGTCAACATTGGACCTATATCACTGGACAAGCGTGCAGTAACCCCTCCCAAACAAACAATACCAGACCCTTTAGGTTTGGTAGGAATGTTAGGCGGGACCCAATTAAAAAAAAAAGCATGGGGTTCCCCCCAAAAGTCATATCAGACCCTTAAGGCCTCATAGGAATTTTAGGAGGGACCCCATGTAAAAAAAACAAATACAAAAGTGTGTGGGGGTTCACCCTAAAGGTCATACCAGGCCCTTAAGGTCTGGTATGAATTTTAAGGAGGAACCCCACCCCAAAAAATGGGGGGGGGGGGG